TCTCAGCCTGCAGCTGCTGCCGCGACAGCGCGAGCGACTCGTTCGCCTGCTGCAAGTCGGCAGCTTGGTGGGCGTGGCTCTGCTGCAGCTCGCGCTCGCGTGCCTGCGCCTTCGCACGCTCCGCCGCGAGGGACTGCTGCAGCTCCTCACGCAGCTGCACCAACGCCGACTCGTTCGCCTTCAGCGCCTTGTTCAACTCCCGCGAGTCGTTGCGAAGCGCGAGTTGCTGCAGCTGCTGCACCTGCAACTGGTACCCGTCTCCCTGCCGCCGCAGCTCCGCCTGCTCCTTCGCGAGACCCGCGATGAGGTCGCTGCAGTGACGTTGGGCGTACTTCAACTGCGTAGCCAGCGCTTCTAGCCGTCCCCGCTCCTCCTCGAAAAGCACCGTCCGCTGCTCCTGCTGTTGCTGAGAGATGGACGAGGACGAGCGCCCCACCGTCGCGGTGCCCACCTCCGACGGGGATGCTGACAGCGGCGTCTGCCCGCGGTTGTTGTTGTTGTTGTTGTTGCTGCTGCTGTGGCTGGCGGTGGCGCCGGTACCGTCGCACACGCTGCGGAGACCGTTGCGCAGGGAGTCGAGGCTGTCAAGCGACCCCCCTGCGTACACAACGAGGCCCTTGACGGAGCGGAAAAGATGCGCAACGACGTCGGCGAGGTACTCGTACTTGTCGCGGTAGTTCTCCTCCGCCTGCACAGTCTCGAGGAGCGACGTGGGGGCGGAGAGACACTCGCGGCACTTGGCAAGCTCGTGCTCACGCGTCACATCCTCAAGCAGGGCTATAAGCTCATCCTGCGCCTCCGCCTCCTCTTCTATGCGGCGTGCCTGCTGCTTCTGCTGCTCTAGTAGTAGTGCGTGCTCCGCCGTATTGATGCCACTGTCAACGCGGTCTTCTGTCTGCGTTGACCTGAACGACTTGAGCGGCGGAGACGCGTGCAGCTTCTGCTCGAGCGCCTCCAGCTGCCCAGTGAGTGTCAGCACCTCCACCTCGCGCTTCGCCAGTTCCGCCGCGAGGTTATGGTACTGGTGCGCCTGCACCGAGAAGAGAAAGCTCTCCACCACCTCCCCCACACGCACACGGCAGTACTGCTCCGTGGCGGGATCGTGCAGCAGCTGCAGGAAGATATGGTCGCGTGGCAGCTCGTTAAGGAGAGCGTTAAATATCGCGCTGATGCTGCCGCGCAGCTTGTCGTTGTACAGCTGCCGCAGCACCGACTCACGCCGCGCCATCTCCACGACGGAATTCACGCCGCTGGGGTGGTACGGCGCGCCCGTGCGCCGGTTTGACCCCGACGACGGCTGCTGCTGCTGGCGCTGCTGCGTGGATGTGTTGTGGCTGCTGCTGCAGACGGTCTCGTTCTCGCCATCGAGCGAGGCGCCTCCGATGTGGCCCGTGTGCACCTGCCGGATGCCGTGCAGCTCAAGCGGCGTGCTGGTGCAGAGGTTGTCGAACACACGCCCTGCCATCTCCGCAGCGCGCAGCTCCTCCTCCGAGCCGTGGTACATTTTCGCGTTCCTCACTTATGCAGAACAGAGAGAAATAAGAGAGTGGCGTTGCTTATTTTTTTGTTTCCCTTTCCTTCGCTCTCTCTCTTTCTCTCACACAGAGACACACGCACACAGACCTGTATCTACCTCTCTTCCTCCTCCTCTACGAGAAGGCGGGGCCACAAAAGGGTCAGGAGACACCACCGAGAGATGCGGAGACAGAAGCAGCAGCAGCAGGAGGCGGAGGACAGAACGCCCGAGGGGGAAGCGAGCCGCCACATCGATCCAGAAACACAAGTCAATGCACACACCCACACCCACACGCACCATCAACAGCACTCAGTCGAAGCGAAGCCAAGAAAGCGAAACAACACACCACACGCACGCAGTAGAGCCTCTCTTCTCTCTATGACGCCGTGAGGGATGCGCGGAGCATCGACTGCAGCTCAACGCTCTCGGGGTTGTCGGGGCATGCTTCCAGCGCCTGCTGCAGCAACTTGTACGCCTCCTCGAGGCTACCCGCGCGGTACGCCACGAGCGCCGCATTGTAAAGCGGCTCGTGTTGCTCCGGCGCCACCGCACACGCCATCGTCAGGTCGTTGCGCGCCTGCTCGCGCTGCCCCATGCGCAGCTTCAGCACTGCAAGGTTGTTCAGCGCTTCCGCGTGACGCGAGTCGGCGCCGACGGCGGTGCTGAAGGCGCGGTGGGCGAGGCTGAGGTCGCCAGTGGCGATGCCAACGTGGCCAACGTTGAACCACACGTCCGCGAGCAAGGCATCAGTGCTCGCGGTGGCGAGGGCCCGTTGGAGACAGCTGAGGGCGATGTCGTACTGCGAGCTGTAGAAGCAGCACAGGCCAAGGTTGTTCCACAGTTCCGTCGTCTGCACCCCCATCTGCAGCAGACGCCGGTACAGCCGCAGCGCAATCTCAGGCTGGTGGTTCTCGTAGAACATATGTGCCGCGATGCAGGCAATCGCCTCCACGTTGCTGCTGTCGAGCTGCAGCACACGGCGGTAGAACGTGCACGATCTCTCCGCGTCATGCAGCTGCTCATACAGCCGTGCCATGCTGAGCATCAGGTGATGGTCCATCGGGTTCTTCTCTGACGCAGCAGCAAGCACCTCCAACGCCGTGAGTGGCTGGTCCATCTTGACAAACACCTTTGCCAGCCGCATAGCGTCCGTCACGTTATCCTGCACCGCAAGAGAGGCTGTAAACTGCTGCTCCGACTCCCGAAGAAGGCCGAGGCGGTAGTATGCCTGCCCCACACGCGAGATCCACCACCAGTCCCTTGGCTGCTGCTCCAGCGCGGCGCTACCGAGTTCCAGCACCATTCGTGGCCTGTGCTCTACGTGCAGCAGATAGTCACACAGAAGCTTTGCCACAATCGGTTTTTCCCGCGCGTACTTCTCCATGTTCAACTTCTGCACGTCCAGATGCGGACCTCCCGGCACAGCCTGCAGCGACGCTGTACCAAGGCGCGACAATCGAGTCGTCATCGGGCGCACCGATGCGGTGCCGATGCGGTTGCTCTGTGTGCCTGGCCGCGCGAAGCCGTAGCGGCTGCTGATGGGCCGCGCCGTACCAGTGGGGGCGCGGCCACCACCACCACCACCAACACCCACACCACCTGCTGCCGTGGACTGTTGTTGCAGCGTCGTGCCAGGACGTGGCACGTTGGAGACGATGGCCTGCTCCCCTTCCATCAGCACCTCATTCACGCCGTCGTCGTCCACGTCAAGCTCATCAAACCAGTTTTGCATGGTGAGTGCCTTGGTCTGGATAAACCACAGCGGCTCATCGACGCCACTGGCCTGCGACTGCGATGATCTCCGCCGCCGCTCGTTGTAGGCGGCGAGGTAATGTGTCGATACGCTGATGCACTCCTCGAGCCGGCGGCGGCGCAGCAGGCTCAGAGCGTAGTAGGTGGGGTCCATACCGGCCGGGACACTTGGCCCACCGTCATCAGCAGCAGCAGCTGCAGCTGCAGGAGGAGGAGGAGGAGGAGGAGTTTGCCTGCCACGTTTCTCATCTTCGTTGGCCAGCATAGGTACTACAAACGACTATGCGGCGGTTTCTATACAAAACTACGCCAGTGGGTGTCGGGCGTTTCGCCTTTTTTTTCGTCTTCTTGTGGTTGTTGCTTCCCTCGTTGCGTTGTACTCTCGCTGTTCGCCGTGGCCTGCCTCTCTCGTCCTTCCCACACTCAATGGTTGTGGAGGCGTGAGACGCAACCGACTAGATAGAACTTGGCAAAAACAAAAAGGAAAGGTGCACACACTGAGCGCCTATTAAACAAAACAAACACACACACACACACA